ATAGAATATGCAGCAGCCAAACATTCATGGAACATTCATGACTTTATTCCATTTATTAGTGTTAGGGCTGAATGGGCTTTATATAGACATAGATATCAGTATTGGGACCAGTCAGTTTAACATCTTTGTTGGATAATAGGATCAAGTGTACCTTCAGCAAGCTTACTGACAACACCAAGCTGTGTGGTGTGGTAACATGCTGGACAGGAGCAATACCACAGGGACCTTGATAGGCTTCATAGGTAGGCCCATGCAAACTTTCTGAAGATCAGCAAGGCCAGGTGCAAGGTCCTGCACCCGGGTAAGAGGAATCCCAAGCACAAGTATGGGCTGGGCTGAGAAAGGACAAATAGCCTGACATGTCTCAGCAGTGTCCACTCACAGCCCAGAAAGCCCAATTGTGTCCTGGACTCCCATCAAGGTAAGAGTGGCCAGCAGGTCCAGGGCGGCAATTCTTCCCATCTATTCCACTCTCGTGAGACCCCGCCTAGAGTACTTATGTCCAGGTCTGGGGCCCCTAAAACAAGAAAGGCATGGATCTGTTGGAATGTGTTCAGAGGAAGGCCACTAAGTTGATTACAGGGCTGGAGTACCTCTCCTATGAAGTCAGGTTGAGAAAGCTGGGGTTGTTCAACCTGGAGAGGCTCCAGGGAGATTTTACAGCACCCTCCCACCACCTAAACAGGCCTACAAGAACAGAGGTGGACTTTTTACAAGGGTATGCTGTGATAGGACAAGGGAGAATGGCTTTAAACTGAAGGAAGGTAGCTTTGGATTAGCCATTAGGAAGAAATTCTTCTTTGTGAGGGTGGTGAGGTGCTGGAATAGTGGTTAATGGCTGCCCAGAGAATTTATGGATGCCTCATCCCTGGAAGTGCTCAAGGCCAGACTGGATGGGGCATTAACATAGTCTACTGGAAGATGTCCTTGCCCATGGAAGGGGAGTTAGAATGAGATGATCGTTAAATGGATCTTTAAGGTCCCTTCAACCAAACCATTGTAGGATTCTACAATTCTATATTTCTCAAATATTGGAGCCACCACCACAGCCCCAAGAGCACAACAATGGCTACAGCCCAGCTCTGCCACTGCAGCATGGCAGTGAAGAGCGGGTGTCTCTCGGCCATGTCATTCTGCTCCAGTTCCTGCAGCAGCCGAGTCATCTCCTGTCTCAGCATTTCCTCACGCTGCCACATGCGCTCACGTGTGGCCTCATCCAGCTCCCTGTTGACCATCTGCAGGCGCTGGATGATGATGTTTCGCACCACTTTAAAGAACACTCGGGCAGCCATGGCTTGGATGAGGAGAGAGAGAAAGGGTCAAGTGCGTCTGGGAAAGAGCAGGGAGCAGGTATGTGAGCTGCACGGAGCTGGGAGAAGGAAGGAGAAGGGGTAAGGCTGCTGGCAGGGGCTTGGGTTCTTGATGCAGGGTGAGAATCCACATTTCTGTCCCAGGTCTTGCCCAGCCCAGCCTCCCATCACATGCTTACCTCTGGCCCAGGCCCTGAAAACCATCCCCATTGTGACCCATCCCCTAGGATGTCATAGGGCCAAAGCCCACCACAGGCATTCCCAGCCCTACCCTGGCTCTGCAGCTCACAGATGTCCCTAGCAGCCAGAGCCTTGACAACCTCAAAGGACAGACCCACCTGGCAGGACAGGTAACAGGTGTAGGATACAAGGGTGGCTTCTTCATACTAGGTGAGAAGCTGCTAGAAGTTCCCTTCATGTTTGATAGAGGCAATGCCAGCCAGCTCCAAGACAGACCTACCACTGGCCAAACCCATCAGTGATGGTAGTAGCACCTCAGGATAACAGATTTAAGAAAGGGGGAAAACCACTTGTGCAACACAAGCAGCTAGGAAATAGAAGTGAGAATATGGAAGAGAAAAAACACTGCAGACCCCCAGGTCAGAGAAAAAGGAGGGGGTGTAAGAGGAGGAGGGACTCCAGGCAGCAGGGCAGAGATTCCCCTGCATTCTATAGTGAAGACCATGGTGAGTCAAGATGTGTCCCTACAGCCCATGGAAATCCATGCTGGAGCAGACAGACACCTGTGGATTTACTTGAAGGAGGCTTTGACTTCATGGGAAGCCCATGCTGGAACAGGCAACAGTGAAAAGAGTCTTCCCCTAAGCAGGAAGGAGTAACATTCTCCACAACCCCCATTCCCCTACTTGCTCTGCTCCATGTTTTTGAGAATCTTATATTTTCTACCTTTGAAAACATAAAACCCAAATTGAATTTAATTGGAACAAGTTATTTCAGACATATTTTACACAATAAATCTCGTTTCTTCCTAACAACATTTTGTGTCATTTTTCTTATAAGAGAACTGAAGTCATAATTTTGGTTTCATTGGAAGCAAACACCTGAGCCTTCTCTTCTCCAGACTGGACAGTCCCAGCTCTCTCAACTACTCCTTAAAAGAGAGATGCTTCTCTTTTAAGAAGGGAGAGAGTCCATCATCTTAACAGCCCTCAGATGGTCTCTCTCTGATATGCCCCTGTCTTGTACTGAAGAGCTCAGGGCTGGACACCAGCACTCCAGGTGTGGCCTCACCAGTGCTGAATAAAAAGAGCAGGATCTTCGTCTACAATTGGCAATATTCCTCTAAGGCAATCCTGGATTCCATTTGCTTTCCTTGCTACTACACTGGACAGTTTGGTGTCCACCTCCATAAAATTTTCTGCCAAGCTACTTTCCAGCTGGTCTTTGCTGCTGCCTGGGGTTGTTTCTCACCACGGGCCAGGCTCTGTATTTTCCCTTGGTGACCTTTTATGGGTTCCCCTTGGCCCATTTCTCCAGCCTGTTGAAGTCCTCCCTCATGGCAGCACAACCCACTGGAGCACCACCCACTCCTCCCACTTTTGTGTCATCAACAACTAATTAGTTTACTTTTGTAAAAGCACTAAAAGTGTGATATAATTGATTAAACAAAACAAAACCAACAACCAACTAACCCAAGTTAGAATAATATTTTGCAATAAATAAAATTCATCAAACTTTTGTTAACATGTTTTTTTTGTAGAACTTTGCTGTCAAATACTGTACTCACTGTATTCACTCAATTTATAAAACTATTAACTTCTCCAATTCAAGCATGAGGGAAAGGAACCATATCATCTTGATTTTGCCAGTAGTCTATGCTCACAAAAAAAAACTGGCATGGAGGAAGAAGAGGCAACACCAAACAGAAAAACTTCTGGTTAACAAGATTTAAAAACACATTAAGACATGAATAAGACAAAGAGCTCTTTGTAGGAGTGGGCAGTGTGGGGAATGTTGTTCAAAGTCCATTTGCATTAGCAGGTTTCAAATATTTCTTCTGGGACAAATAGAGAGCTGGGCAATCACCAACAACAGGGAGCTTAACAAGGACAATTTCTAGATTCTACACCTGGGATGGGGCTACCCTGGATGTACGTACAGACTCGGAATGAGAGGCTGGAAAGCAATGCCACAGAAAGGGACCTGAGGATCCTGGTTGAAGAAAGTTGAATGTGAGTCAGCAGTGCCCTGGTGTGCATCAGGCACAGCATCAGGCAAGGGAGGGGATTGTCCTGCTCTGCTCTGCACTGCACTGGGGCAGCCTCACCTCGAGCGAGTACTGTTGTCCACAAAAATGGTATTTACTACTCGGTGTGCAACAAGCCAATACTAACACACTTGAGAGGGACATTGATTATTTATTTCAAATTGCACAAGCCTGGGCACCTGGTGAAATTCCACAAATCAAGCACACGGATTACCAAAACGTTTTACAATTTATACAGTTTAGCAGATAAAGGAATTAGTTTTCATTGGCTAATAGTTACATAGTTTTCTTATGAATTAATATTCTACTACTGGCTAAAAATTCTCTTGTTTCTTATGCTAATCAGTCCACATGCCCCATCTTTCTCTTCTTTTGGGTCAGTGGTCTCTGAGTTGGAAGTTGCAGATCTCCCCCTGCTGGAATTATCTTTCACTCAGTTGGAGCTGATTTCAGCACAGTTGACTTTATCAGTTATTCCCTTATCTTCAGAGTTCTACCAGATGTCTTTGTAGGTCATAAATTCTGCATTCTTTGTGTCCAATATCAGTTGGGATCCTTTTTCCCAAGCTTTGTTAACCTCCCCCTCAGTCTCAGATCATTGAAGCATGTAAACCCCTAAACTTTAACAAGTTAATTCTACAAACAAGCAATTTGTTCTTCTAGATATCACAGATATTACTTAGAGTTTGCTTGTTAGCTGCTGTTTCACAAGTTAAACCTCCCTTGTTGATTGAACTTGAAAGTATACAAAGATCAAACATGAAATAACATCCTTTAAAAATTTTTTACATAATCCACATTTTGCAACAGTCCTGCGTGCAGTTTGGGCACCACAATATAAAAATGACACTAAGCTATTACAGAGGGTCCAAAGGAGGGCAGGGAGGACAGCGAAGGGCCTGGAGAGGAAGCTGTGTGAGGAGTAGCTGAGGTCACCTTTTCTGTTCAGCTTGGAGGACACTGAGGGGAGACCTCATTGCAGTTTACAACTTCCTCATGAGGGAAAGTGCAAGGTCAGTGCACTGATCTCTTCTCTATGGCGTCCAGTGGCAGGACTCGAGGGAATGGCCTGAAGTGTCAGAAGAGGTGTAGGTTGGTTATTAGGAAAAGGTTTTGCAACCAGAGGGTGGATGGGTGGGCCCTCTCGGGAAGTGGTCACAACACCAAGCCTAACAAGAGTTCGGGAAGCATCAGAGCAATGCACTCGGGCAGATGGTGTAAATTTTGAGGCTCCCCACACAGTAGCTGGACCCGACGATCCTGGCGGGTCCCTCCCGACTGGGAACACTCCCCGCCTTCCTCAACATGGCCGCCAGCCGCGCCGCCTCGGGACCATTGCTGCACGTGCGCGATGAAGCCCCGCCCATCTCCCTTTCCTCAGCGCTGATTGGTCCGAGGGGCGCGCGCCGCAGCCCGTTGCGGAGCGCCCCGCCCCCCGGCGGTTGGCGTGCGGTTGCCGGGGCAACCGGGGCCGGCGGCGCGCGCGGGCCGGGAGCTGAGGGGAGAGCGGAGCGGGGCCGGGGGCGCTGCCTGCGGGAAGGCGCCTGGAGCGGGTCCCGGCCCGTGCCCGCCTTCGGAGCCGCCTTCGGAGCCGCCTTCCGAGCCGCCTTCCGAGCCGCCTTCGGAGCCGCCTTCCGAGCCGCCTTCCCACCGGCCCTGCCGGGAGGCGGGGCCACGGGACGGGGAGGGCGGTGTGAAATCGTGCGGCTGTAGGTAGGAAGGAGCTGGGGGACCGCGGGAGGGAGAACTGCCCGGCTTTCCCTCGCTTGTTCTGCTGGGTTTGGAAGAAGGTCTGAGAAGGGGCTCTGAAATGTGTTTTTTATAGAAAAAGCAAGAAACTCACAATAGACAAACAATGTTTATTCATTGTGGCAACCCACAATGTCCTTTCATCTCTTCTTCATCCCCACTTTTTAAAATAAAAGTTAGAGGCAAATACCGTATGGATAAAGGAGAGGTACTGAGCTTCCGATTTGTTTACTAAGAGAGGAAGTTTCTTCTGCCTTCACAGCCTCGATCTTGGCTTTTCTTCAATTTCTCCTATTGTAATGCTGGCAGGGAGGATTCTCTGTATGAGGTTTAGCGGTGGGATGCTTTTTGTTGTTCCTCAGTTCTCATACACTAATGTGGGGCTTTTGTGTATAAGCTATAATACATAACATACACTGGTATATGTACTGGCTAAATAGGTGACCTTTCTGTTCGGAGTCATTAAGTTATATCCATTAGGGTATCTTTATCCCCGGATCATTTATGGATCCATTCAAGATTAGCCGCTTGCCTTCTCCCCTCTCCCCCATTCTGTCATTTATAAGCTCACTTACATGAGCCAGAGTTTGGAAAAAATATAGAGGTTGTGAGAGCCTCTATAATGTGCCTTAGTGGGAAAAACTCACAGGTTTTGACTGTGCAGAACACACAGTTGTGTGCATGACATAAGTGCTGTGCAGATATAAAAGAGTCCTGTAGCTTGATACCACCTCTCACAGCCTGTAAAACCTGTTCTAGAGTCTTCTGTATTTTCTAATTTATAATCAGATTATCAGCTTCCATTAGCTAGCTACTATGTGTGAGAATTATGCCTGCTGTGGAGCATTGTGTTCATATTTCTATATGAAAAAGACAAAAACTAGGATATAAGCAAACTGAATCAACAAATCAAATAGAAAAATTGCTTTAAACATTTATTAATACACCAAAAACTTGATAAAATATCAGCAATAAAAGGGGTAAGATTTTATAAGCAATGTACTATCACTGTAAATGAAAAGGACATTGGTGAGGATATGTCAGATTTGAAGTACACATGCAATTTTGTTGAAGATCTGGGGTACAAATAGTATAACATTTTCCTTTTTGTTTTTAAGGCATTCTACTTAGAGGAGCACGTGGAATACAGTATTAAAAGAAGCAGTAGAGCAGCTTGACCTATAACAGAACGATGGTTCAACTAACAATGGACCTAATCGCTAAAAACACCAGTCACAAGAATTGTAGTGAAGAGGATTTTAGACAATATGTGCAAAAATTAACTCATCTGAATTTTTCGGATAAAAATATAGATTCAATAGTAAGATTTATTTTTTATTATTCCTTTTAAATTGGCTACTCTAATGTTTTGTAGTTACTGTTATGATGAGGTGTTCATTATTGGAGAGTCAAACAGGGAAATCCAAGTTTTACAAATTTATTAACTCGCAGCGCAATCTTTTCAATCTATCTGTGATTTATTCCTTAAATTTCAGAGGAAGTCTGAGAAAGGAAAGGAGAGTTCAGAAACAGGAAATAACCCAAGTGAGTTAACAAATTTGGACTGGTGTAGTGGCTTTTTCAAATTAGCCAGGTTAAAAATATACTTTTTTTTTTTTTTAATTGCTCCCTGGGGCATACTCATTTAAAAAATAATCCATGAGCTTTTCATTTTCAAAGACTAAACCTGCAAACTTAGCTCAGTCCTCCTTCCTCTGAGTTTAATAATAGGAAATGCATACAAGTTTCAATAAGTTCTGAGTTAATTCAGATCCCCTGAAGATACGAGTAAATTTGGAAACTGCTGAGCCCTGAACAACTGCATTTTTGAATGATGTGAATTTCTGCTCTAAAAGTATGATTTCAGTCAAGAAGAAATCACTTGTTCTGTGTGAACAGATCCTGCAAACAAATGGGTTTATTCAGCGCACTCCTGTGCACAGCCATAACGAGTTAGTCACGGGATCAGTCCATTTGATGAATTTGCTTCATCAGCTGCCACAGCAAAGTTTTACAGAAACCTTCATGAGGAGTTGTCTTTTAGTTGTTGTATATGAATATGTTCAAAGAAACTCAACATTTGAGTGTAAACTTGAGTTCAGAAATATATTAAAATAGGTTGAATTGCAAGGTTTTGTAAAAACCAATAATACTTTGCCAATAACTGGTTTCCAGTTACATCAGTGCAGTTTAATGGAGACAACTACACAAAAAAATTGTGCTTTTCTGAAATCCATCTGATGAAGACAGGGAAGAGAAAGGAGCGAAGTCACACTGGATCTGCTGTATTTGCTGGTGATGCTTGTGGTCCTCAGATTCTGTATGGCAAAATAGTAATGACAGATTTCAGCCTTTAATCTGTAGATAACTGGCAATATATAATAACTCTGTTTTTCTGGGAAAAACAGTTTTACAAAATGTTTACTAAAGGTGAAAATTTATAAATCATGCATCAGAACTTAAATATAAGAACAATCAAAAGCTTCCAGAAGCAGGCAGTGACTGAACATTAAGTAGCATGTTATTGTTTATTTCAGGGTGACCTCTCTTTCTGTAAAAATCTGAGAGTTCTGTATTTATATGATAACAAAATCAACCAAATCCAGAACTTGGACTTTGCTTCAAATATAACACACCTTTACCTTCAGAACAATCGTATTTCAAGTATAGAAAATCTCTCATCACTGAAAAAACTTGAAAAACTGTAAGTTGACAATAATGTATTTATTTTACTAGTAAAAAGAATAGTTATAACACTTAAGAAAATTTTTAAATTATGTAGCCATTAAAGTCCTTTCACCTCTTAAATTTTGCTTTTCAAATACAGTTATTGCTTATTGTTTTTTATGAGATGTTCTGTGATAAAAGTAATGACATATCATCTTGACATGTATATTTGCATTTAAATTACTTTATTTTTTCAGTCTAGTAATATTAATAACAAAGCAGGAGATAAAACTGCAAAAAACTGCTTGAAACAGTTAAGTGTATGTTCTACTTGTATGCTAGGTTATTTACTTTACCTATCATAATTTCCAAATATTATTCAATAGTGCTTGGAAAATATTTTTCTCTATATATTGAAGCCTTGTGTTTGCTCTTACTTTCAAAGAATATTAAATCTATTTTGTGTTCTATTCTGTAGGTATTTAGGAGGCAACTATATCACTGTAGTAGAGGGTTTGGATAAAGTAGGAGAACTGAGGGAGCTACATATTGAAAGTCAACATCTCCCTCTTGGTGAAAAGCTTCTGTTTGATCCAGTATCTCTTAACTCCCTGGCAGTAAGTATATTTTGAGAATTACAATGAGCCAATTATCAGGAGATCAGTATTTTTAGGAGAAATTATTAGGAGTTGATCACTTTGTGTTTTTTTCCTTTGCCAATTGCTGACATTATTTTAAGTTCTACCAAGAGACTACCACTCTAATTCTCTTATAAAGTGTCCAGCAAATTCTACTTCATCTTTTTTTCATTATGAGGGGTGAAAATGAGAATCAAGAGAGAGAGGAATTAATAACAGAATGTGAATAAACTAAAAAAGGGGGTGTAATTTATCACTTAGTTTTCTAAGTTATCTTAGTTTTTTAGTCTGTTTCAATTGTAGTGAATTAGTTTGTTGTTATTTCACTGATTTGATTGGTATAGTTGTTTATTTATTGCCTTTTGTATTTCTGTAGAAAAATGGAATGGGAAAAAAGACACAAACAGATTTTTCTTTCTGGATATTAAGAACAACACAATCAAAAGCAATCATTTTTAGTTCTGCAGTTCTTCTATGTTGTGTTATGACAAGAATTCAGGAAATCTCTTTGTAGTTGTCTTTCAACATGTTAATTGCTCATAAAACATATAGTTGAAGAGGTTAAAAAGTAGGATTTGTTTGCCTAATGGATATAGTTCTGTACTATGAAAATTCCTCTTGCTGTATCTGCTATAGTGTAGTCAGGATTTGATGAGCCTTTTTTTGTGAAGTTGAAGAACTCAGTAAAAATTGAGTTCTTTTGTTCACATGTATATCACAAATATTTGACTTAGTTCTTTTTTTCCTGTTTTGAGGTTATGTAATCCAAGACACATATTGTTGTTTTTCTTTAATAGAAATGAGTCGTTACTGTGAGAGCGTTCGTACTTTGTTTCTTCTATATTGGAGAAATTATCAAAGTAAAGGAAAGTTTTATAGCTGTAATCTTCACAGGATAATAATGTATAATAATTTCTTCCATGTTTTTCAGCAGCCTGGTCTAGATTTTGTACTTTGTGACTTTTATTTAAGGCCTTTTGATGTGGTTTTTTTTGTTGTTGTTTTCTATAAAACAGCTTTGCATTCTTGATGATGCAGCATCTTTGTGGAGGCTAAATAAAATATTCTATTTTATCCTTTAGGTGCTAAGTGTTTGGAGCTTTTTTAAGGCATCACTTTTTACTTCTTAATCTGCTTCTGTCTCTTTTAATGGTGTCAAAGATAAAAGAGATAAAATCATGAGGCCATATAATTCTGTGCGTACCACAGGCAAATGTTTTGATGATGACAATGTCATGAATCTGACTGAGAAGATTAAGTTTATGAATTGTGTTTATCAGGATGATACTGGTAATTTCCATCTGCAATGTAGGTCTTGGTCAAATTTTTGAAGGGGGTTAGGTTTCCTATATAAACTGCTGAAATTTTTCCAAATAATGATAAGTCTTATACTTGTATAATTCTAAACTCACTGGATTAGGAGTCACTTTTCATTTTCTAGAGATATAAGCTTTTTCCTTTTATGTGAAAGTGCATTAGTATTTCCCAAGATAAACAACTGAAAGACATTTAGATTTTTATTTAAAATGCAAAGATCTTTGTAACTATTGTCTGTTACAAATGGCAAAATGCAGTACGTGGTTCAGTACTGTTCCAGAGTAGGGGTAAGGATTAGAGGTATGGATACCAAGAGGTTTGTAGGATCAAGCCTGAGAGAAAAGTAGTGTAGTGCAGCTGTTAAATGAGTCTATATAGGTAGCACATATAGGCTTCAGTTCTGCAGTTCAGATGCAGTCTTGAGGCCCACCTGGAGCAAGTCCAGAGAGGGCCACAGAGAAGATCAGAGAGCTGGAGCACCTCTCCTGTGAAAACAGGCTGAGAGAGTTGGGGTTGTTCAGCCTGGAGATGAGAAGGTTCCAAGGACATCTTATATCAGCATTCTAGTACCTAAAGGGAGCTTGTAAGAAAGCTGGGGAGGCACTTTTTACAAGGGTGTGTTGTGATAGGACACGGGGTCGTGGCCTGAAGCTGATCAAGAGCAGGTTTAGATTAGCTATCAGGAAGAAATTCTCTGCTTGTGAGTGTGGTGAGACACTGGAACAGATTGCACAGAGAAGCTGTGGATGCCCCATCCTTGGAAGTGTTCAAGGCCAGGTTGGATAGAGCTCTGAACAACCAGGACTAGTGGAAGGTGTCCCTGCTCATGGCAGGAGGCTGGAAACAGATTATCTTTAAGTTGCCTTTCAACCCAAACCATTCTATTATTCTATAAAAAGGCAGTCAGTTTCAATGTATGTTTCATACTTCAAAAGTAGAGCTCAGTGTACTTGCAGAAGTCTGTAAAGAATTTGAACGTGTTTAAAAAAACTCAAAAATTCTGTATTTACTAAGAATTTCTGAAATAATTGAGAAATTGGTTTCACTTCAAAACCAAAATAAATTGCATTTTAGGACAAGGTGGAATGCCAACATAAAACAATCTATATGATATGTGGAGGTGGTGTTAGCATATTTCTTCTTCATATGTTTCTTCATCTTTTAAGATAATTTTCTGTAATAATTTACAACTTGACTCATACATGGTATGAAAAAAAAATTCTTTTTCTGTTTTTCTTCCTTCAGAAATCTTTGTCTGTATTGAATATCAGCAATAACAACATTGATGAATTAGAAGAACTGGCAGTTTTGAGAAATCTTTCTTATCTTAAAGCAGTTGACAATCAACTTAAACATATGAAGGTATTAAAGTAAATATTTGTTGTATTAAGTATGGATGTTCAGGAATTAGTCACATTCATCTTTACCGCTAAACATATAACTAAAAAGAAATGTTACTTCTGCAGTTACTGAATCTGGCTTGTCAAGCATGCTGTCTTTTCTCATATAAAAATCTTACTGAGACTAAAAATGGAGAAGTATTTACCTAGGATGTAAAAATTTATAATTTTATTAATAATACTGAAATGAATAGGCTTAAATAGGAACTCAAATCACCAAGACAAAGTCTTGATTGAAATAAACTCTTTCTTTTCTGGTTTGCATAAACATTTTATTTCCTTAGTAAACTTAACTTTCATTAGTTAGTAATTATTAAAATAACTATTCTTATTACTTCTGAGAACATAGCATATTTTTAACAGATCGTTGAGACAATCTTCTCTTTACTAATAAGAAGATTGCAGTATTTTCTATGCATAACCTATCAGTTATCTAGATGAATTTACTCTATTTGGACTCTTCATTTTTTACACTATAATATTGAAAAATGTTGAATGATATCCTTCTTTTTTACTACAGAACTATTAATGCTTTGTATCTCAAGTCCTGGCTGGCAGTTGTGATTGAATTCATGTAGGCTTTTGCTAAATAATTAAATTCACATTGAATATGTTGGTTATATCAAAATAGCAAAAAGCTTTTTTAAATAACCAGTCTCTCCAAATATTCCCTTTTTAAAAGGAATCAATTTCTGAATAAAACATATTACAAAAATGTGTATATTGGCTGTTTCTTTCTTATAAATAAAATATACTTTTGTTGTGATGATCTTAAAAGAAAATTGTTATAGCCAAAGAACCAATTAATTTTAAGAATGAGGATACCAGTTTGGAGACAGCATTTTCAGTATCTTAGAGGAAAAGGCAATATCCTCTGAAATAGAATAAGGAGAGGACAAAATTACTGCATTATTCAGTAACTGAGAATATATTTCTTATTATTTATTAAATTTCATTATTTAATCATCAGGAAAACCAGAATTATATTTACCCAAACAAGTTGGACCTGAAGATTTCTATGTTATATAGTCACAACTGGCAAAAAACTATACAAGTAGCATTTAAGTTGCTATCCATTACACCCGTATTAAGCTCCAGTATATTTTGAAAGTGACTGTTCTGTGTGTTTTCTAAACAATCTCCAAATTTTGAAATATATGGAACAGGGTGTTTCTATTCATATCTTTGCAGACCTGTAAAATTAATGAATATATCGAATGTGTTTAATATACAGTGTAATGCAGGTGGATATCCAACTTTCCAGCTACAATTACTGAGTTTTAAGGGATTACATTTTGGTAGGCTCTACTTCTCACTAATATAAATTCTTAAATAAATAAAAACCAAACTGTTGAAAACATTAAGCCATGAAAAGTATTTTTTAAAAAGTTTTAACTCCATGTAAGAAGCTTCAGCTCACAGTGGACATCTAGCGGGAGAACAATCTTACACAGTCACTGACTGTTTAAAGAAATAGCTGAGGGAAGTTTTGAGTATATTTCAATTTTTTTTGCATCCCTGAATTTCATGATTGCATGGCATACATTATTCTACAGCTGTGAAAGCTGCAAGCATTTTAGGGGTATACAGTTCTATACCCTTAACTGGTTCTGCTGGCTGAACTTGTTGCATGCAGCAAAGGCTCTTTCATTCCCACATGAGCTGCCTTCCTTCTTCTCCCTCTTGCCCCTCTATTATCAAAACTCTGATGCATACTTATTTTTCATGCCAAAAGCACTATATCGCCTGTTTTCCCATTCTTGCTTTGCCATCACTGCCATCAAGAACTTTCCCAGGAATGTCTGGCATTAATCAGAGATTGTGGCAGTGCCACATGACAGGGAAGTGTTGGAGAGCTCTGTACCTATCTGTGCTTCACCTGGTGGGAGGAGAAGCTCTAAAGGAGCTACCTGTGTCTGAGCAGGTCTGGAGAACTGCAGGAATAACATGGGATCTTTGAGAAAGAGGAAAATATGAAGGGCATAAGAAATGTGTGAAATACAATCTCATGTAGACTTTTCTCACTTTTGTGTACTTAGTATAATTATTTTATATTTAAACATTTCTCTCAGTTTTTTCACTTTATTATGAAAACCCATATTCTTTTGCTTTCTTACCTATGCCACTTTGATTTCAGCATAGTTGAAAATTAGGACTAAAAAATTTGATAAATTTAAGCACTTAAGGTCATGGCTAATACAGGGCTTTGTTAGCATAATTAACAGACATCAAGGTATATGACCTTGTTTCACTTGACTGAAGTTTATATAATGCAGTCTGAACAGTAGACAGATGAAAATCAAGTAATTTTTCTGAATTCATGCAAAATAACTATGACTAGCTACCACATGCAAAAAGTATGTCTCAGGTCAGTTATCAATAATATGATTTATTTTAATAGAATTGGCTTTTCTTTGCTTTCTATTGCTTGCTATTTCATTTATTCATTGTATTGAGATTCTGTTTTTTTTTAGTCAGGATCACAAGGTCTTTTAGACTGCAGTGTACTTGGGTTAGAATTAAGGAAATTTTTAAAAACACTATGTCTATTTAAAAAAACCCCCACAATTATTCCTTTTTACAAAAAGTCAGAATATAATTTATTTATTAAGTTCATTAGTTTTAGAAATATTATGAGTTATGTGAGTCTTTGGATAGATAGAAAAAATTTAGCTAGAAATACCTGGAAAAATCTGTATTTCCCAAGTCTTTAATTTATTCAACCTCTGCCCAGTATTGATTGTGACAAGAGGATATCACAAAAGATGAATTCATTCGCTTTAAAATTGAGTCAGGAACAAGAGAAAAATTATAGATTTTCTCAAATAGATTATGACAGGTAATCAAACTGGTGACAAATGGCTGTCTGTAGATGTAGCTGGGGCAGTTGGATTAGACATTTCCAATAAAAACTGGAGCATACTGGTCAAATACCAATTCTTAAATGGCCACTGTTAATTGGTAAGAAAGTTATTGCCAGCACTACAGCTGCCTACTCAGGCACTTGCCCTTCCCCCTCCCCACCCTCCCCGATGGAATATAATTTGCTCGTCAGTATTTTGCAGCAGACCTCAAAGTGATAGCATGACATGATCATTTATCAAACGGAGCCTGCCCAGAAGAGTGTCTGGTCCCTTTAGTACAGCTTATTGAAAGGCTGGGAAGTGAAAGCACTTTATTAGAGACAGGAAGGCAATGAACAACTAGAGCGTATCGAAAGGGTAATCATATTTCAGCACAGGATTAGTGTGCTCTTAGATAAACATACACTGGAGTAAGCATGTTCTGGGTCATTTATCAAGTAAGTAACAGCTAACAAAAATCTACAGGACTCTGTATATATTCATCAAAGTTAAACTGTATACATTTTGTTTCAGTAATAGACAACTTTGTGTTGCAAAACTATTACTTGGAAAAATTCTTTCTAATGAAATCAATAACACATTACAGACTTCAATTATAGTATCTGAATGCTTAGGATAAATAAATATACTTGCTAAATTAATTTTTTTTAGTAAGTCTAGCCTAAAATATTTTGCCCCTAAAGTCCTGTTTGTGATTAGCACCTAAACTATGAGGGTTATCACATTTCTATCCTGATACATACTGATTAAGCTTTGCTGAATAACATTACAAGAATTATTAACATTTCTTCATGTGGACTAGTCCTCAGAGTTTCTTGCATTGTTTTATCAGTCCTGATCCTCACAGAATCAGACTTTTGCCCTCTAGTTTTCTAAAAATACATTTTTATCTCTGAATAGCAATAGGTGATATCACCATCATCATAGATAGACCAAAAATTATATGGTTTGGAGGCATGAGGCTGTGCTGCCACTTTCTCTACCACATGTTTTTATTAAACGTGATATAAAACCGATAGAACATTTCCAAGAGGATTTTCTACCAAGGGAGATGAGCCAGCAAAAGCACAATTCTCCCTGCTTGTGTTACCCAAGCAATTTTCTAAATTTGAAGAAGCTAAGAGATATCTACATTGCTAGAGACTTCATTGTTGGCATCAAGCTACAAAGTTTTACACACTCTGTGGTTTAGAATCCATCACAGCATGATTAGTAGAATTTTCCAAACTATTACTACAGTAGAACATAAATCCTCTCTCCTATTTATACCTATTGTCTTGAATTCCTCCTTAAGCTTTTCACACATACAAGGAAAACCTGTCAAGAATAAGAGTTAAATTAAATTTTGGAAAGAAAGTATTTCAGAAAGTAAGGTGTCTGAATAGAAAGGACCAATCTGATAAACTTTGCATGTTTTCAACTTGAATTTATTGTATTTGAAAGACAGAGTAGTTTCATCTAGGTCATACTGCCCCTGGGTAACCAGACAGAAACGGAGATGGGGAAAGGTATATTTCACTAATTTCACTGTAGGCCAATACTGTAACTGACCACCCACAGTTAGGTAGAGGGGGATTACTGTTTCTTCTGTAAAATACAGTTCTACATATATAGAGAGAGGCAGTTCACTGTGGCTTGCATGATTTTTAGCTTATTTTTTTTAGTCTGTACTTTATCTGTATAAAGTAATTGTTCTTCCACATGCTGGTACTCTTAAGGGCTCTGTAAGACCTCGGGGAGGCATTAACAGACATTGTGTACAATAGGAATTTTTTCATTGGTAGTTCCTAGGCTTTGGGTGCTTATCAGTGGGATTGAAGTGGTCATTTTGATAGCTGGCATTACTGTATCCTTAAAAATGCAGCGTATTCCAGCATCATTGTTTCTTCTGTGCAATTTTGATATATTCAGGGGATGCTGTGGACCACTCTGTTTGAAAATGCACATTCTTAATGTGCATAATACATGAGAGTAGTCTCATTGAAGTTTTTTCTGTGTGCAGAATTTGTGCCTGGTTGAACAAATCACATTACTGTTGAATTTTACTCTGGAGGGAAAAACATAATCACTATGTTCTGTTGTTGTTTCAATTGCAGGATTTGGAGGTTGTATTAAAAAAATGGACAAAGCTATGCAGAATAGATCTTACAGGAAACCCCATCTGCCAACAACCAAAGTACAAGGATTGGATTATATTACATTCACTGACTTTAGGTAAAAAATTAAATCAATAGCCCACCCATAACCCCCACTCTTTTAGGAAACAACTGAAAAATTAATTGTTCTTGAGTAGTGCTATGCATGTAAACACAGCTATAGATATTTATATCAAATCATGAATTTTTAATTTATGTAGAAAGCTAAAACTGCTTATGTAATCAGCTTCACAAGCCATCTTGTTTGGCTTTTGGTATTAGTAGTAGTAATTATTTGTTTTATAATAGATGATTGGTGAGATTGTTACAAGACAGTTTTTGTGTTCATATTCCAGATGTTGTGAAACTGATTTTCAAAGATCTGTTTCATCTGTTCCCCTATCAATTTATAGTAGTTGCTGAAGTGTTTTGATTGTACAGTGGTAGTTGTGCAGATCTCATCTTACTGTGTTTGAATTTGTCATATAACATTCATCCTTCCACTCAATATCATTATAAGCAGTTCACACTTTATGTTGTGCATGTATTTATTAATCTTAGCCCTTATGGTGCAGTTTATATTGTTATTTTGCATAAAATTTTACCATGAAAGGAAGAAACTGATTCTTCTGTATCTAAATATTTATACTGTAGAAATAAGTTTAAAAATCTGCTAATTTTTTACTTTTTTGGATAAAGGTGGCATTTATTTTAAAGTTATAATTACAGAACTTGTTTTTTCTCAGAGCATGAAATACTGGCCATTTAGAAAAAGCCTATCTGCACAATGAAAATAATAGTGCTTTAGGACAGTTCTAATTCAACCTAAATTTGTGGCCACATGAGGTATTTCATTTGGGCTGGCTCAAAAATACAGATGCAACCAATGAATCATAGAGCATAAGGTTTATGGCACCTAAGTGAGTACAGTTAACCTTAGAGAGGCAAATCTCTCTGACTGTCTCTATGATCAGTGGAATTCCATGATTGCTAAGACATGCAGTTTCCCTCTCCACCTGGATTTCTGCATCTATCTATGCCCTGTGTAAGAGCATAACTTTTCTGCAGAATGTTATAGAAAGTCTTGCATTTTAACCAAATGTAAAATATGTATATTTCCCTGGAAATTTATAAAAGCTGTAGGTTTTTTTTTTTGTAATTAAGGCATGTTAACTCTCTCTTGCAGCTTGAATTTGATTATCAGTCTTTACTGGGTATTATTTTCTTTACCAAAATACTTGAAAAAGAAAAAAAGACTTGAAGAGGATTAATATAGAACCAATACACATTACCTACAACTTTGTATAGCCCTTTAGTTCACTTTGTATCACAGAAAGTGTTCTCTTTTGCAGAATTTCTGGATGGGAAAGAAATTCAAGAAATGAAAAGATGTTTCTTAAGGAATTGGAAAGCCTCCAGACTTGCCAGGAACAAAAGTAATGAAAGAATGACTGATGAACATGCAGCCTATGTAGAATTTTATAAGCAAACTAATCAATCCTTATTTAAAACTTACAGAAATCATAAAATTAAATCTAAAACTAAATATATTAAGAATTATATAAGAAGACACTTGTACCAGTGATGAGTCCAAAAGACTTGAGTGGAAATTGAGCTTTTCAAATATAAAATTTAATTTTAGCACTAGTTCATATATCCTTTTTTTTCCTCACATCCCAATCTCCCAGAATTATGGAAAGGAGTAGCTAGTGCATTTTGATTGTGTAAATATTCACATTTACTTCCATATTCTAAAAATGTTGGGCATTCTAGAATAAATATGCACGAAATACATCAGACTTTTAAAATCTATTTGTTGATACTTGTTTGATCTCTGTATATTGTCAGTCCTTTTAAAGGCCTTTGCAAGATACATGTCTAGCAGAAGTCCAAGTTTTAAACTTGTGAATAAAAAAAAAATGTCTGGGAGGTAAAAAAGCCTTAAGCCCTTTTTGAGGTTTAAAGGCAACCTGTTCTTCAAATGGGAAAACAAATTAGTTTTGAAACTCAAGCAAAACCTGAAATACAACTTTGAAGTTTTTTTAAAATGGTGGGAAGGTGGTGCTTGTTACAGAGCTGACTGCTGATTAAAATATAAATGACATAACAGCATGTCTTGCCATCTTGCAGGACTTGGATCCAGACATCCAACTTGAAATTATTCAAAAGTGTTCGAATTACTATATTTATAAAATAAAATTGGGTGCACTTACACTGTTGCTTTCAGAAGATTAATTAATATGTTATTTTTGAAGACATGAAGGCTGATGCTCTGCCTACCTGCACCAGCCCTAAAATAGTTGGAATCTACACATTGTTTGGAAGCCATATGTAAATGGCAATGGTTTTGAAATGGTCTTCTGAATAACTACTGATGTAAGAAGGTGCTATGTAATTGAATTTTATTCATTTTCAAATAACTCTATTCATTTTCAAATAACTCTACCTGACTGGGAATACCTGTTTTAATATTTAAGAAATTGCAGTCAGATGACATGCATTTAGTATTTTCTAAAACCTTCATCAGTGTTTGCAGCACCTTCCATAACTCCATTCAAGGTTTTGCATTCTCAATTATCAAATTTGAGGTATTTTACCTTAAGGTTCAATACACTGTTTTCTATAACGAGATATATTGGAAAGTGTAATCAGTCACACAGAATATTAAATACATATGGTTTGACTTGGGATATTGAATTAATCCTTTTTTCTTTTTGTTTTCTGCAGTTGACTGTAGAAGACCTTATTTCACATTTCCTCTTCAATCCAGTCACTCTGTGAAAATAAAATCAGATTTTTTAGATTTGGTTCACAAGCAGAAAGTTGAAAGAAAACCTCTGCCAAGAATCTGTGAAAGAAGAAGTCAGGTGAAAACTCAGGTGTGTTTCTCAAACAACATTCTTTTAGTTATGTTGGTTATTGCTTGTCAGAAATAATTTTTTTAAACCATGTTATATTTATTGTATTTATTTCTTTGAAAACAGGATAATAGGTTTCAGTTTCTGGTTACAAATCAGTGGACTAGCTAATAGTAGTAACTTTAATAATACTAGTTTCTGTCATATGCATTTAATTGTAATAATTTTCTACAAAGGTAAAATAATGTTGAAGTTAATTCTCAGAAGTAAGTTAAGGTGTGAGGACCACTGGTGAAGGGTGATGCAGTGCACAGAATCATATGGAGAAGGAGAAACAATCAGTTTTCATCATTACAGGTTAATTCTAGCAACCATGCTCTAGTTTCACCTGTAGCAATAGTATAGTTAAATATTTGGGGCCTAATATTGCTCCTCCCAGATTTTTAATGCTATTTTTAACCTAACAGTTTTATTACTTATCAGCTGAACTAGCCAACCAAAAAAAAAAAACAAAACCATAATTTATACAATGCTGTCGATAAAATAAATAAATACATGCAACGAACACAGGTATTTTTTGTAATTAAATTAGTAAATGTAGTATTCTATTCTACATTCTAGTTACATATTTTACATTCTAGTTAGAATTTCTATTTTCTATTTTACATTCAAGTTAGAATTTATTAATATGTTTGACAAATTAACTGAGCAACATTTAACGCTATTTTATTTTTGACAACTTACCACTTTCCATTCTATGAGTTTTGTTTCTTCTGATTATTTGTTCTGATTAAAAATAGCTGCCTTTCTGTTGAGAAGGGAAGAAGAATTGCAAATCACAAAGCTGCTCTTTCAAATAATAATTTTTGTTCATCACATGACAATGGATATATTCTAGCCCAAAACAGAAAATTAATTTGTCATATATATGCCCATTATTGAGCTTTTTTTCTTACTCAGAAAGCACAAAGCAGTGGAGCACTTAAAAACAAGAACTGCAGGAACAATGTACTCATTATTATAATAAGTGATACTGTTAGTACTACTATAGTAGTACATTATTATTTTCCAGTGAATAGTACAGGCTTCTGAAATGTAGAGGGATACAGACTAATACTCATGCCATATAAAAGTTGGGATTTTTAAAATTCTGTTGTAAGATGGGTTTGTCCACATGCTCAGTGTTCTGTCAGCTTGCATGTCATCTCTGTTAGCATCCTGTCTTTTGGGCCAGGCTGAGTAAAACTGTGCTTTGCATTTACCATTTCCCTTAGTCCTAAAAAAGAATGGAACACGTGTGTACAATATCTTTTCTCCTGTAAGACCTTCTGCTATTCCCTTTGAGACAAAGCATTCTGATTCTGCTTTACAATGGTAAAAAGCTGTCCAATTGTTGAGCTTCTTTGCTTGGCAAAATATTTTTCCAGTATTAAAAATCTGGAATACAATCACGGCTCTGTTGAAATCCCTTTTGACCTAAGAAAGGCTAAGAGAGCACCTTCCATACTTGGTTGAAATAATATCTCTATATTTTTATTAATTTATATTTGCAAATTAAACAATGTAAGTGATTTTTTATTAATGTTAATCTAGTAGATTTTAGTCTGATTTCACAGAAAGGTTAGAAGAAATTGCAGTCAGATTACATGCATTTAATATTTTCTAAAAACTTGTAGTATCTTCTAAAAACTTTTATTTTTAGATGCTGAAGGTTGCTGTACCTTACAATTTCATGTGTAATCACTGATCCTGAGATGTATTTTAATCTTGCTAGTAAAGGAATTCCATAGAAACCAAAGAGTCTTGGGAGTTGAAGTTTTGTGAATTCTTTAGAACATTTATTGGGGAAAAAAACCCCAAACCTCAAAAAATAGAAATATTCATTCTCAGATCTTATACAGATACAAAAAAAAAAAAAGACAAATCATAGTATTCCCTTGCCAGATCCACTAATTAGGGATATACATGAATGTGCCAACAAGTAAAGGAAGGAAATTTTTTCAAACTGAACAAATACCTGTATTGTTTAATTGAAATTCAGTATAGGACCAAAGAAATTAGTGGGTTTTAATCCTAACCTCTGTGTTAGTCAAATAAATTATTCCAACAGATGTTTCCTCTTTCCCCATACATACTAGGTGATGTTTGACCTTGGAAACTGAAAAATAGGCATTAAATACCTTTCTAACATACATCTAAGATCCACTGAGGATTGCATGCAGCTTGAACAATGAAAAAAGCCACTTGTTAGTAGATTACTAAAATATGTCATTAATTTTTCTTTTTTTGATGATATAAAAACAATAGCAATTTTATATTGAATTTTAAGTTACTTTTGAGCATTCAGAGAAAATTATGGATATTGGCAGGAAGTAATTAACAGAAACCAAATCACTTAACTATTTTAAAGATATCTAATACCTTCCAGTGGGATACACCATTATTAATGTTCCCTGAGTAGAGAAGTTGTTGAAATTTTGATGTTGTAAACTTAATCTGTTACCAGCAGTTTCTGCCCACATTGTCTTACTCATGGAATTAAATATTATGGTAGGTATTTGTAGCAATTCAGAATGTGGTGGGAATGTCACCTTTTGTCCCTCCATTGTATGTTACAGGATTAGCAATGTGGAAATATCTTTAAATTATACAGTCAACATGTAATAAATACTCTGGATTATGCCAACTAATCATAAGCCACTCTGCTGCCACCATGCACATCATGTGCCTTTCCAGTTCTAGTCCAGAAAGAAGGAACTTGCAGTGAACAATGTTAGTTCTCCCTCTTCTTAGGCAGATGCTTGTATGAACATTGTATTTAATTAATTAAATATTTATCAATGCCCTGAGTTGCAGTGATGTGTATGGTTTGAAATCTACACAGGATAATGTATATTTGATAACAGGTAGGAATGTGCATGTTGTGCATGTATACTGGACTTTTGTTCATATGAATCTAACTAGCATTATAATAAATAGAATTATTAGGGCCTATTATATGACAGGTTTTTGGGGCAAAATAATACTGAGACTATAATGATGTATACCCAAAACATAAGCTTTGCAATTATATACTTCACATTACAGAATATAGCTCTCTTATTTGAGAGGGAGGTGGGGAAATATATTACCTCTGGATGAAGCAAAAATTCTTGTTTGCTTACTGAATATCAATTTCAGGAAACATCTGAAAATTCAAAAATAAAAAATATCCTCAGTCTTGGCTGCAGAAGAAGGAGAAATACAGACATAAGATATAAACCAGGGCAGTTTTATCTGTGCACCCTCGAGTTGGTTTAGCAGCAAAGAGCTTACAAGCACTCCATAGGTATTCAGAATTAGGTGCATTAAATACTTAGAGATACCAGCTGGAGCACTTTTCCAGAGCCAAGAGCATGCTTAGAACAGATACGGAGCGCCTTTTCCAGCAGCCCCTCTCACTGCCTTTCCTCGGTGATGGTGTTGAAGGAAAAATGTAAACATCTTTTAGTGAAGTCTACAAAGTATCAATCAGCTTTTAGTGCTGAAGGCTGTGGAAGAGAAATGTAAGGAATTTACTTGCCGTTGAATTATTCAGCCATGACATAGGATCTGAAAGGAGTCACCACAATGCTAGATAAAGTGTAAGGATAAAGAGATAAAGTGAAGTTCTGAAATTAAATAGGGTTGCTGAAGCAGAGCCATTTGAATGAAGGTCAGGTATTAGAAGTTTCTGGTTATTGTGGCCCTTGTAAGGTCTCAGCAGGCAATTCAGACAGTTTTAGTGGTTGGTTCCCTTTTTTTTTTTTTTTTTTCCCTTTTGTGGAGAATATGCACTACCTATAAAAGTGAGTGTGAATATTTTGCAGAGACATAATTAATATTACAGTAATCTTCAGCCTAGTGGTATTTTTGGTATCTATGTTTACAGCCTTGCTGAATGTGGTGCTGGATGATTCTCCCCATGATCATTCATACTCTGTTCAGAAGGAAAAATATAACTGTCATCACAAACATACAAGACACAAACAATAGCACTGTCTTCTGTCTAAACTTCTTTCAGTAGTGGTAATTAAGAAAACCAAGAAGATAGGTCTACTATATGTCAAATCTGTAGTACTTAACACTGCCATGTCATCCAGTGTTCTAAAGGCAGTGATAAAAGGCATGCCTTTTTGCCCGTGCCCTGCCTCCCCACTCTAGTTCTCTGTGCTGCTGCCTGTGCCCAAAGCTGAGGAGGAGTAAGGATCTAAACCACGCTGGCAGAACACGTGCACTGATAGACCCCCTGTGCCCTTGAAAAGAGTACATTCTTTGCAAACCAGACAGAGAGCACATTTGCTGGTGAGCAGATTGCCAGCTAGACTATGCATACTCCTACATGTCTGGCTGACCAGATAGAGCATAGACACATTCTTGATGGGCAGTCTGGCAGGAGCACGTTTGCTTGCAATAGTCTGCTTCCTCTTCCAGGAGATAGGGGCTGTTTCCTAGACGTTTAGAAAACCAAATGGCACATGTGACTTATCAGCCGTAGTAGGTGGTCAGCAACTTAGCAGGGCACATCTGGGGCTACAGGCTGCCAGATGCTCTCAAGAACATTGAAATCCAGACTGTCTGAAACCTTCTACATAAAATACATGAGTATTTAGAATGTTTTAGGTTGGAAGATCATTGAGTCCAACTGTAAGTCAGTAACATTTTAAACAGAATGCAGAATGAGAGGGGACTGCTTAGTGATGTTAGTGTGAGTTGTGTCTTGTAAATGGGTCCATCAAAACTGTATCAGGAATGAAATACTATTTTAGGATGGTAAACAAAAAGCAAACTCAGATCTTTGCCTATCTATTTTTCAGGTGTTACATGTTCACACTAATAGTTACTAGATAAATTAAATGTTCAAATTCATTTTTTCATTCATTCAGTTTTTCCTATCCTTATATCTTTGTTGTCAGTACTTTTAGAATACTGTTGAGATAAAACCTCCAAACTTCATAACATCTTTGGTCTGCTGTATTAGCATTGCACATTTTTATTGTGTAACTGACTGGAAAAATTATAAATATCACTTTAATAACACAAATATGAATCTAATTAGAAAACTGTTTAAGAAGTAATGCTATGTTTTTAGGTTTTTAAAATACATTAAGTGCATGAGAGTTGGAAAAAGTAATTTGAGGTTAAAATAAAGACTGTTGCTTTGTCATAGTGTGACACGAAATAACTCACAGAAGCAGGCTAGCTGTAAAAGGAAAGAAAAAGAACCCCAAAAAAACCCCTTTATTTTCTGACTCCAGTATATATACAATAGCAAAAGTGACAGTGGATTGGAAGGTGAAACTGCCACCTCTCCAACCACACTGGTCAAACCAACAGTCCATCAATTCTCTCCACCCACAAAGAAGAATGCAAAACAATCATTATTTACATGAATATGCGTGAGAAAACTCAGTTGAAATATGTAAATATCGGAAGGCATAGGAACTTTTAGAAGAACTTTAAAACTCTCAAAAGAACAGGATGACATTGCTTGAGTAGGAATATATAAATAAATTCTGTAATTTCAGTATAATTCTGTTGCAGTCAGTTCCAATAATCTAATTTACTGCAATGATATAAACACTCTTTCAATATTTGCCTTCCTGTATCTGGTCACACATTATGTAGGCACACTCCCTTCTCTGAAAAGTTGAAAGCAGCTGCTTTTATAAACCTGAGGTGAAAATACTGCTCTCATCCAGCAAGATGAGCTACTACATTTTGGAGGACAGCACTGCAACCACTAATTCCTTAGTAGCAGTTATACCTCCTGGAATTCACTTCCAACATTTGAGATGTATCCCATCCAGTTGCAAAGACTTGTGTATGTCAGATTTACCTTAGTAGTTCCTAAATCAGTCATCATCTACTGTTGGTAGAATTTCCCACCACCAAAAACTATTCCTAGGACCTAGCAGGTGTGAGACCAGGCCTTACTAGTAAAGATTCCAATGCTTTTAGAGCTTACACAGTACTGTTGGTGTGTTAGAAATAAAAAAGGAAAAAAAAATAGACATCACTGCCCAAATTCCTTCCTTTGATAATGTTATTACCAAATTCATAACGTGTGAACATATAGTGTTTGAGTTACTGATCTAAAGCTCATATTTGAAATTTTAATCCATAGCTGAAGAAAAAAATCCTATTTTTCTAATGCTGTATTATTTCTTTCTATATGCAGGTATAAAACAGTACACACTGCCTGTGATACAGTTTTAAAAGCCATGCAGTTCAAAAGTTCTGAGATAGACAGGGGGAAAAAATAGCCAGAAAGCTGTCAGTGTTCAAGATGTGCCCATTGATTTTTCAGGATATGGTTTCAGATGTGATCTGTTAATATGGGATAGTATGTGATTGTATTCAGAGTGTAACTGGTAAAATTTCAGTGCAACTGAAAGGTTCTCTTCCCTGATTTTCTTATTTTTTATCTCAATGTGGTGTGCAGAGTAGCTCTCTTGACTAACAGAGCTCTGAGGCCAAATGATTAATTACGTGAACCTGATTATTTACAGTCACAAAATTATAAATGCTATATACTGTAACTGGAAACAATACCTTTTACTTTTTACTTTTTACTTTGGTAGGAAAAAAAAAAAACCACATTGATTTTTTTCTTTAAATTTTAAGTGGCTTGGCCTTGAAGAATTCTCGGAATTCCCTGCTAAAAAAGTTGTATTTGAACCTTACCTCTTCAATCAAACTACACTGTAACCAGACACTACAGAAATGACTGACTACATCTTTCTGTTCTCTTAATTCTGAGCAGAATTAATTGCTGCATCAAAACCAAGATAAATCCAAGCCAGCTGTGAAATGATCCATGTAATAGACTAATACTTTAAATCAAAAAGAGTTTTTAATCAATAAGCTCTTCCTTTCTTGGAGAGTTAGTATGTTAGACTGCCATAGAAACCACTAATTACATGTCTAGTAAAGCTGGGTATAATCAGTTACACATAATTTGTAGGTAAATGTTTTGGAATAAAATACTGGCTCTTATCTGATTTCATTTATATGAGAAATTGCTTTGATTATTAATAAGATTTTTTTTCTTATAGGACTTGAAAATTAAATTATACACATTTATGTAGGAAAAAAAATGTTAATACCATTTTTGTCCATGGAAAAAGTAATTTTTGTAATAAAGGGATATACAATACCCCAAATAGACAGATTCTGTCAATTCAGAATGTTCTGGTTCCAGGTTTGGCACTGGGAAGAAAAACAAAAGGGCTTTCACTGCAACAGCCAATAATCTTTCAATAGGTAAAGATCTTTTTTTTTAATCAGCAGCACTTGATAACACTGCTTATAATTTTTATAGAAGAGTTAAGTGCTCCCAGGAAGTGTTAATGACAATGGGAGCAATAGGTGCTTTTCGTGTGGTTGTGACATGAAGATCTCATCTGTCTCCTTTGATCTCTCTGATGTAGGTTGAAGAGGAATCTCAAGTAGCGACAGAATCGTTTAAATTCTAAAAGCCAGAAGTTACAGGATGTGATGAATTGGCAATTATTTATTTTCTCCCTCAAAGACTACAAAGAAAGATACTGGTGTCCCTTTGGATATGTTGTCTGTGTCTTTTTAATCTCAAAACCAGACAAAATTAAGTATGTTGAATTTAACACTTCTTTCTAAGAACATTGGGAAAATCAAGAGGACTACCTATCTACTTAGAAGCAACGCTTTGTCTCAAAAGCATGTAAAAAAATCAGCACATGCTAGGTTAAACTGGTTGCCTAATTTTAAGCTTCCTCAAGAAATTACCTGGCTTTAGCCAGTGCCTTACCTAGCAGCTGCTCCCTTCCCTATATGGTACCCAGCAGTTGTGAGGAGGCATGTTCACAATAGAGTCATGGAGTCATTAGGGTTGAAAAAGACCTTTAAGATCATGCAGTCCAACTGTAAACACTGTCATTTTCACCACCAAACCATGGTGTGGTGAACACCAAACCACACATCTACACATTTTTTAACACTTCCAGGGATTGTAATTCCACCATTTCCCTGGACAGCCTGTTCCAATGCTTGACCACCCTTCCAACAAAGAATTTTTTTTCTCAATCTAAATCTAAACCCTCCCTGGTGCAACTTCAGGTCATTTCCTCTTGTCCTGTCACTTGTTATTTCAGAGAAAAAAACAGCCCTCACTTGTCTACAACCTCCTTTCAAACAGAAATAAGCTATTAGCACATGATTTTTGAGAAGATTTGTAGTCCTAAAAAATAATTTCCATCATTTTGATTTTTCCAAGTTCTGGTGAATAATGTGGAACAGTTAGCAGAGGGGCATGAGAAGATTAATGATATCTGTGGTGATTAATTTTTTATTGGGAATATCGTTCATTAATTTAACTTCAAATTCTGTTAGTTTGGCTGCTTTGCACTATTTTAAGTAATTAATTAAATTCTTGAGAGTTCTGATATAGTAAAATTCCAATCCTAAGGTAAGGAAAGGAAAGCCCAGATTACAAATTGCCTCTAGGAAAAGACCTTTCATAATGCAGTTTCTCTGTGTAAATGGCAGCTCAGCATCTTGTGCTTACAGTCCTCTCTGAAATAAGAAAGGAAATTTTCCTGAATAAGGAAATCAGGATCTTTTTGGATGGAATGTTTTGTGTATTTTGTGAACATTTATAAAGATAATTTGGTAGAGATTATTAAAATATATTTAACTCCTGCATGCATTCTCCCCTTGAATAACAAGATCTTCATTATAAAGAACAAGATTTCCAAAGCTAAGATAGTAAATGAGTGGTACTGTAACGCTGAGATGCCAATGTTTCTGTTAAAGTGCTGTGGTTTAATCCCAGCCAGCAGCCAAGCCCCACGCAGCCACTTGCTCACTCCCCACATTGGGATTGGGAAAAGAATAGGAAGGGTAGAAGCTGGAAAACTCATGGGTTGATATAAGGACAGTTTAATAGGGAAAGCAAAAGCCACACATGTAAGTAGAGCAAGCCAAGGAATTTAGTCACCACTTCCCATGGGCAGGCAGGTGTTCAGCCATTGCCAGGAAACCAGGGGCTCATCACATGCTATGGTTACTTGGGAAGGCAAACACCAAACATCCAAACATCCCCGTGCTTCCTCCTTCTTCCCCTACTTCAGGTATATGAACATGATGTCATATGGTATGGAGCATTCCTTTGGTCAGTTTGGGTCACCTGTCCCAATTTACCATGTTGTCAGTTCTCATGTCCCCAGTCTCCTTGCCATCATGGTAGTATGAAAAGCAGAAAAGGCCTCATCTCTGTGTTAGTCCTGTTCAGCAATAACAAAAACATCTCCAGATTATCAACCCTGTGTTCAGTACTAATCCAAAATACAGCCCCATACCAACTATTGTGAAGAAAATTAACTTTACCCCAGCCGAAAGCAGCATAGAAGGCTGGTGAGTAATTTGCCTTCAAAATCAGAACTTTCCAAACACAAAATAAAGCTCAGATGTATAGCTGTTAGTCCCTTACTGAAATCAGTACTAACCAAGCACAATACTTCTTTTTCTAGCTGTACTCATCAGACAGAAAAGCCTACATTTACACAAACAAACAAACAAACAAACAAAAAAAACCAACAAACACCACAGTTGATTTTTAAGCAATTTCCAAAGAAGAATGTCGATAGTGTTGATGAGCATGTTCACAGTGTCAGCTGCTGATTGCTGACTCAAAGCAGCACATTAGGAAGTCGCTGCCTGATCTCTATATTGTGGTGTTATCTTTGCATCTTACACTTCCCTCTGCCTTACACACACCCATTTAAAACTATTTAATGGATTGTTAGTATTTATTTGTTAATGTGGGTTATGCTGTGTAAGCCACCTAGAACATGGCATATTTTTCATAGGTTCTGAGTATTTCTGGATTCAAGATTTTAATTTCTTGTACGATAAATAAAACACTGAAGACCTGGATTAATTACTCCCAGTGGAACATATGCCATGAGGTTTCACAGAGAGAATCCCACAGTCAAGCAACTCAAGTCTAGCTAAAGCAAAGCCCTAAGAAAGTCTCAATTCCCTGGTCTAACACTTATGTACACACACAACCCCTCAGAATGGAGCCCTTCTGATACATATTTTAAAAGTAATTTTTTAAGTGATTACTACAGAGAAAATGCTGTAAGAAACTTATTGACACACTGTGATACGGCATATTTAACATAACTGTGGAATATGCTATGGTTCTACAGTACATTATTAATTTGAAACAAGGGGGGGAATGTATTTAATTGGAAATCTTCAAAATATTTGTTTGGATTTTGAACCATTATGCTAAGATTTCCCCAAGAAGCAAAAGTTGTGAACTACAACTTATTTTTATTCTCCTGTGGCTGTGTCCTGCCTTTGATTTGCTCCCAGGCTACAGCTTGCAATCTGTGGGACCTGACCAGATACAATGTGTGTGTGGCTTCCTGCTGGAGCTGTTTTACTCAATATTTCTTATTTTTAAGTTAGTAAAATTTAGTTAGTTTCTGTCAGAAGCACCAATAACTGCTGCACCATACTAGCAGGCAAGCACGCTTGAGAAATCCTTATACAGAAATAGGAATGGGAGAAAATTAACAAATTGGACAGAAATACCCTGAATGTTTGTGCTGAATTGTAGCCATGAAACCAGAAACTAATTTGACATAAAGGGAGCAGAGTGTACCTGGAAAAACATCATTCTGTCTGTGGTAGAACTTCTTCTTACCTAAATCACACTGGAAATCTGTGACTCTGGCATTTTTCAGATTTGAGATATACTGTGGAAGGTAAGGCAGGAAAAGTAATTCTCAGTCATTTGTCTGGGAAAGAAGAAGAAGAAACAGCTGCAGCCATTTGTTACAGCTTTAGATTTAAATAGTGGGTTGGTACAAGAAAATAATCACTGGATGTCTTTGTGCTTATGACAGAGGAGGTATCATCTGATGGGAGAAAGTCTTGATGGAGCAAAGAACAACTATTTCTACATTTCAATCTCTTTGGGTTTTTAAAATATGTTTAAAGCACCCCTTTTTTGGTAACAAGGCTAGCAGCCAGAGTGGTGTCTCCAAACACTGCTCAAATTCTTACTGTGCAATCTCCCTAATCACACTGCAGTAAGGTGGATTCAGTGTAGTCTAAAGATGGAAATGGGGGTTCCACCACCACTTCTCTTCCAACACCTTCTGCTGGACTTCCTGCATTGGGGCAGAATTCTGTGTACAGTGGGAAACCCCAAAAAAATACTGTGTCATTAATCCAGTCAGAGCAGAGAAGAGCACAGCACTCACAATCTGCTAATTTAGGGTGGCTGGGAAGTCTCAGGGTGTTGGGACACTTGCTGTTAAGTTCTCTGTCAGTGACATAGTTGAGCATCCCATGGCCTAGTGAGAAGTCGTCCCCCTTGAGTAGGCATTTTTTAGGTGGGCAGCAGACCTAGAAACCTCCTTGATGTGTGGGAGAGCTGATCCCCAGACTTGTGTGCTGGTCTCAGTCAGTGTGTGTTTGGCACTTACAAGATGATAGAGTAGCTCCAGTGGAACTGGGGCTGGAAGGCAAATCTCCCTGCTCCCCAGGGAGTCTGGGATCAGTTCCTCCACATCACACCACAGAGTCAGAGTGCTTTCAGTACAAGCTTAAGGATGTGTTCAAGAACTGCTTGTTTGAGCCCCAGAGGCTGATTGAACAGAGGGATGTCTGTCGAGTGTATTTTTTAAGAGGTTTTCTCCTCCTGCAGAAAGGATTCAGCACTGCTCACTTGGGCTGGAGGCAGCCCTGGAAACCTTTGGGGCAAAAAGAAAACATGGCTTAGCAGGGCTGCCTGGAGGTTACTCCACTGTCCTCCAGAGAACCAGTGTCTTCATTCTCTTGCACCCTGGAGGCCAAAGGATGATCTGTGGTGCCGGTGAAGTCCATCATCGCGCCCGTGTACATACTGACAAGAGTAGCTTTTGCCAGAGTGGCTCCCCACGGCTGAAGGGAAACCCCCACCGAGGCTGTGTCAGCAGCAGGCAAAGGTAAACGTCGAGGCACAGTTTCAGTACTTAGATTTACAGATTAATTTAATTACTTTACTTAGAATTTAGTGCTTAAATTCAGAACGGAGAGCATTCCTTGCCATCCAGCCCTCTCCGGCCGGCGGAGGCGGTTCCTCACGGCTCTGGATGTCAGCCCGAGGGCAGAAATCGTGGCGGGGCCTCGGCGGGGCGGTGGGGCCGGGCGGGGCAGGGTCTCACCCGCGGGCAGCCCCCACCCGTTCCCCCAGAGCGGAGCTGGTGGAATTCTCGGGCCGGAGAATTTGGCTGGGATGCACTGGAGGCTGCGGCGGGCTCTCTGCGGGTTCTGCCGAACCGGGCCGGGGCTGAAGGCAGGTGTCCGGCTCCCAATGCACCGCTCCCGGGCAGCACCTCACCGGGCTCGTCCTTTCCCGGGACTTCCAATTATCGCTAAATTTTAAGACCTTAATTTTCTTGGCTGCAAACCCGGTAACGAATCGCTCAGACTTTATTTTTCCACTGCTCCAGAGGCTTGATTTATTGTGTCTCTCTTATCGCACAATCGGGCTTCGTTCAAAATGTTATTCTGGGCTAATTCCTTACCCCGGTATTTATTTTGACTGTCCGTTCTCATTAGCGTTACTGATTTTTAATCGTTCCCCGTTCCCGGTTAAATCCCCTCTCTGCCCGCCCGGGCTCGCCTCATCCCGTTCGTGTTTCCATCCCGTGTGGGCCGGTCCCCCGGAGCAGTGCCCGGGCAGCCACGACCCGCTTCCCCCGCGGCTGCGGGACGGAGCCTCGCCCTGGGGAACCCGCTCCGCCCGGGAACATCCGCGAGCCGGAGATGCGGCGGCGGAGCGAAGAGAAAGGGCTCGCTTTTAGCAGGGCATCGCCTGCGCTCCCAGCCCAGCGATTGAATTTCTCTCCTCCAGCAAAACCGTTACTTTATCCTAAGAAAAACAGCGCGAGCGGCGGCGCGGGGCGGCGGGACCCGCACGGACCCGGGGCCGGGCGCGGGGGAGGGCGGGGGTCGAGGGGAGCGTGAGGCGATGCCGCCCCGACAGCTCCGTGATTGATGACCCATCCGCCCGGGAAGGGGCGGTCGCTGTCGCCCGGGCTGGAGGGGGGAGCCCGCAGGCCAGGTGCGACACAGCCCCGCCGCACCCACCGGCCGCGACGGCTTATAAACACCGGGGCCGGACGGGGCCGGCGCGACGGGACGGGACGGGACGGGACGGGACGGGACGGGACGGGACGGGACGGGACGGGACGGGACGGGACGGGACGGAACGGAACGGGACGGGACGGGACGGAACGGAACGGAACGGAACGGAGGAACCTCCGCAGCGGCGGGAGCGGTAAGTTCATCCCCGGCCGGGCACCGCGGGGTCCTGCCAGGTCCCGGGCAGCCGGGATGCGGGACCGGGACGCAGCAGCCGCCTCGGGCCGGCGGGGCTGTGAGCGCCGGTGCTGCCCCCGTACACCGACACGCAAGTTCCTATTTCTTCGCTCCGGAGAAAGGGTTTTTGTTACCTGTTACCGGAGTTACACGGAGGGCAAGGCCTTTTTAAAACCGATGCAAAATTACTCAGATTCACTGTATTTTGCCCCCTAAGGAGCAACGGAGTTGCTCCAAGGAGCAAGTTTATCTAAGGTTTCCACCTGTTTGCTTTCAGTTTGTGTGCTCTGCTCTGGCGTTTTCCATCTTTTACTTGTCTGTGTGGGCAGGTTGCATTCATTGCCATTTCATTCACACAGAATATAAGACTAAAATTAATATTGTGCTGGGTATTTTTGGTAAAAGATGTCAAACCAATCCTGTCTTTGTAGTGTCATGTAAAAACACAAATGCATCTGCATGTAGAAATACTGCACTAGAAGTACTTTAGAAACAACATAAATACTTCAATTTTCTTTCACAGCCCTGTCCTCCACTCTGTCAGCATACCAGGTGGCAAGTGGGTGCTTGCAAAAATTACTATGATTATCTTAAAAACCAAACCTCTTTCTTGTAAAATTTTAAAAGGGAAATTACTGTTGCCCAGAGACTTTTAATTTACTTTAATTTTTAGCAGCATTTCTTGAACCATGAGGTTTTGCCAATGCCTGAGTTTGAAGCACCTGGAATGGATGTCCTGATTACTCTGGGGAGAAGAGTGATGCTGCCCAGTCCCAGTGTGCAACAGAATTTGATCCTGGCTGTGGATCCAGGAACCACCATGATTTGGCTACACATATGTACATACCTACAGCAGATCCTTTGTGTAGCAGATTTTCCTAGGCCATTTGCTGTTTGTGTTTGATGGAAAGTCTGACAGCAGAGAAATGTAATTCATAGTGAAATCTCTCATTTCCGCAGCTAAAATTTTGTACTTTTTTTTCCACAGGCCCAGGATTTTATCTCATATAGATGTGAAGCTCCTAAACCAGAAACTCCTATTTCCAAGGGCACCCAAGGAGATGATGTTTTTAGGTACGTGCATTACTATGTACTGTATGTCACTTGAAGTCATCCCAGTTCTAAATGTGGTTGTACACCAGCACAGCAAAATCAAAATGTGTGTAGTAAACCAGCCCTAGTCCTGTATTTCAGTAGAGGAGCAGGTATTTTTACTAACCCAGTCCGTCCATATCTTTGGGTAATCTAGACTTCTCCAGTAATTGGGGAAGACTTCCTCCTACCAGTGGGATTTTCATGGGATGGCAGTGAGAAATCCTGCTGTTAAACATAAATTGTTAGATTCTTCTGCCAGTGAAGATCATTGTAATTATCTTAAATTACTGTCTTGATGTCCATCTCCACAATGATGGTTTTTTTAAAAACTAAAATGCATCCAGATCTGACTATACCTTAACACAATGAACAAACACCAACAAAAAAGCATATAATGATTTTTTTAAGTTAGAGACAATAGTCAATGTAAGGACTGTTTTTCAGCCCTCACTCAAGATAAGCTCATGAAGTCTTAATGTAAGATTTATTTTATACTGATCATAAACACCACAATAAAAAGAGTAGTGAGATTCTTTTTCCTTTTGTATAGAGTTATAATGTGCATAGAATATTTTACAAATCATTTCAGTCTAAATTGTACTACTGAAGAAACTGAAGAGACCATTACATGGTCTCTGTAATCCACATTAATAGCAAATTAATCACAATTAATAACCCAAAATAATAACAATAAAAATTCTTCTAAATACCATAAAACTATAGCATTGCAAAAAGATTTAGAAACCTTTACTTATCTTTGATAGAAATCTTTGACCTCCATGTGTGCTTGAAATGCTCTGCAAAATCAAGGACTGATTCTTGTAAATGTAGATATTCAGTCATTTATGTGCATCAATGTTACTTAAACTTTTAATTACTCACTATTTGGTTGAAATTAAAAGGTTTAATGACTTGTTCCTGCCCTTGTCTAGCCAGGCTGTCACAGGAACAGACACTTCTAACACTTGAAAGCCAGGATCTGGGACACCCACGAGGGCTACTTGGCTGAGGACAACAGGATCAGGTATTATTCCAGCAAAGAAGTGCTGCACTTTGGGGAATATTGATTGAATTGCATTTTTCTGTGAAACTGAATGAATTAAAGGACTGTGAGTTGTATTATGGGCAGAGCTGACTGACTTTACAAAAAGCTGAGAAAAGACCTTGAGGTTACTGTTTTCAGCTTTTCTCTAAATATTTTTTTTTTATGTTTTCAAAAGGTTATTTTGCCCCCCAATGGCCAAAATACATCTTACAAAATTCTTTTGAAGTTTGCAAATGTAGATGAGAAAGGATAAGCATGCGATTTCTTCAGTAATGTTAGGGGTGGAAGGACAGGAGAAATTAGTTCCTGATCCTTTAAAATTATGGGCCAAGTTTTGCCCTTCAAAAACTGAATCAGTGCTCTGTGGCTTCTCTTACTAATGCATTTGAAAATTATGTTTTTATTTCCACATTCCATGGAGCACTGATCACATATAAGACTGTTCATAAAATGATTGCAGTGAAAATAGAAAATATACTAACAGTTCCACATCCCAAATCATAGAGCGAATATGTTTTAAAAATTGCCTTTAGCCTAATTTGTAGTTGATTGTAAATGAAAACCACTGTGGCAGTCCATCTGGGTGGTGCTTGTTGGGTTTTCTCAGAAGTTATCTCTGGGCTATGAGTCACTCAAAAAATTCGCTCTGTGTAATACTGTAAGAAAAAAAAAATCGAATACTGATAGTTGCAAAGATTTTAACTTCTGTTCTGTACCCCTGAGTGATGCTGAATTCGTAAGTAGCGAGTTGAAAAGCGGCTCACAGAGCGGCATTCCGGCTTTTCCCCGCACAGGCAGTGCCCGAGTTTCTGACTAACCTTGTTTTCAGAACAGGGCTGCTGGCTCCAGCCCACCGCAGCATCTCCTGTCGCTTGCAGGGCCCTCCGTGCCGGGCACGTCACCGATGGACTGTGGGCACTTATCGGAGAGCAGCGAGGAGATCTCCAGCACGGGCGCAGGGCCCGGTTCCCGGCCGCCCCCCTGCGCCGGCAGCAATGCCAGCCCGCCCGCGCCGGCCGTGCCGCGGCCCGGGGCCGGGGCTGGGGCCGGGGCCGGGGCGGGGGCCGGGACCGGGGCCGCTCCGGGCCGCCCCGCCGCCGCCAACGCCGCCCGGGAGCGCAGCCGCGTCCAGACCCTGCGCCACGCCTTCCTGGAGCTGCAGAAGACCCTGCCCTCGGTGCCGCCCGACACCAAGCTCTCCAAGCTGGACGTGCTCCTCCTGGCCACCACCTACATCGCGCACCTCACCCGCAGCCTTCAGGATGAGGAGGAGTCGTCGGGAGAGGGTTTGGGCACGCTCCGCGGGGATGGATACCTCCACCCTGTCAAGGTAGGGGAGCTGAGCAGCAGCCACCCCTTCTGTCAGTGAGTGAGTACACCGGCCTTAGACACGTAACTGAAACTAAAGATTTCATGTTCCTGTACCTTGCCTAGAGGTATTACAGGGAAATTCTGGCTGGACTAACCGCTGTGCCTAGGTCTTAGGGGTCTAATGGAAATACCTTGGAGCTTTGTTCCTCCGGCTTCAGGGACTTTGCACCAAAATATCAAATCTCCTGTAGATCCAAACCTGGGTTTTGGAAGTGAAGGTCAGCACCACAGGAGTCCTTGCATCTTCATGGTCCCTATGTGGAAACCTTGGTGATCCTCATGGACGCACTGGATCCTGCTGTGAGGGGTGTATGTGGTGAGGTGCCACTGTCCCACAGCGATGATCCAGCCACGCTGGGCCTGCTTTGGTTCTGCTGCCCTGGCAGTGCTGTTAATTACCAGCCATGTGTTAATTACTGCCATGAAAGTGCTCTTCTAAAACATTTTTCTGGTTGGTAGATACTCTTCCCTTTGTCAAAAAAATCACAGTGAGGCAGAAAGGATGAGAAAGGAGAACTGCTCTTGGAGAGGACTGGACTGGAAGCTGTTTCCAAATGCAGTACTCACAGACTGATGGGGCTCAGGCACCGCGGGGTGTTTTCTTTGGCTCTGCTCACAGGGAGTGAGTTAGAGCACTGGGGTGCTTTCTTTTCTTCTTCTTTTTTTTTTTTTTAATTTATTTTAAGAGTCTGAATTCAGAATTATTTAATTAAGATTCATTTGTGAAGTAATCTCTAATTTCTAAAAAGGGCCTAATTCACAGACTGTTCCTTGTTCACAATGTTGCTTGCTGTATTTTACAGCATGATGTGAACATAGGCTTCTGAGGCCATTTAGATGCTTAGCAGACTCACAGAGAAAGCAAAACTTCTATATCGATTAGAAGATGGTTATAATTTAAGTGAAAAAATGCTGTGATGTATTTCAAAATAAGTTCAAAATAGCTTCTGTTAGTTCCCTCAGCCAGAGTGAAAGGACACAGGTCTCTTATGGTATTTTTTATCAGCTGCCAACTACTACTGGCAGAAAAATAGTCTTGAATAGTTATTACAGCAGTTAAATGATCCATATGCTAATTTCCCAGGCTACTGGGAGACAGTAATACTAGATTCACTTAAGCAATTATTTTTTATGAATATATTTGATGACTGTGTCACAGTCAAATCCTAGTATGTGCTTCAAAAACCCCAAAATCTGGATATGAGACAACCTTTAGAGATAAAGTCTTTAACTAAACTGATGGATTAAGCATAGTAAATGGAAATAGTGAGGAAAGTTAAATATTCAAGTACAGTTGTGTGTACACTGAATGAAAAATAGGGTTAATGACTTTAAACTTGGATGGTTTATTGGTGACAAACTCTTAACATCACTCTTGAAATGAAATTACTGAATGAGATCGTACAGTCTTTCTAAGTGAGAATATGCTTCTGCTTTAGGTCTGTGAACAGAAGAGCTGAGATTTATCTGCAGTATTATTAAGTGCCCCTTACCCACAGGAAAGGTGCCAGTCTGTTCCCAAAAGAGTTTAAAAAGACCTGCATTCTTTTGGAACAAGGTGCTGGCTGCATCTCAGGTATTTTTGCATCCAATGTATGTGACAAGCTGTCTCTTCAAGCATCCACCTCTCTAATAGTGACCTTGGCAAAGCAAATGGAGCTGGATTCTCCCTCCCAAGTTCTGGGTGCCCAGCTGCAGCCACCCGCACCACAGGGCTGCTTGCAGTGAGAAACCTGCTGGGGTTAGAAACTCAAGCTGTCAGAACAAATCTTTAACACCAAAAGTAACTGATGATACAAAAAAATCAGTGAGTGTAAAGATGACCTGTGTCATCTGAAATAGCTGGAGCTCACAAGAACAAGATGCTGAGAGTGCTGAAGACTGCCAAGGTGCAATTACATTAAATTCCCTTAGACTCACAGGCTTCAGTAGCAGCCCCTGTGGTGTTGTGAGGCCCAGCCAGCAGGGACAGGTGTGCACAGGGGGCAATCCCTGCAGGTGCAGGTGTATCCCTGTAGCATCCCTGGTGCCTCGAGAAGGAATTCTTTGTTTTATTCTACTAACAGAACATCTACAACACAAACTGAGCTAGGCTGACTGGCCAGCATGGCCTGGTCCTGTCTGTTGGGGCACGGCAGGGTTGAGAGCTCTGCCTCATGATTAATTACCAAAGCAAATATCCAGGCTGAGTTCCAAACAAGCTCCAAACGTTTTCCAGCAAATGACAAAACAGGAACTTTTTTGGTGATAACAACAGTTTCCTATTTTCTTGTACTGTGATTCTATCAAATCTTTGCTGAGAACTGCAGTTGGAGTGCAAAGATCCCGGGTGTGTCAGTGGTGTGCTTGTTTCCTCTCTTGCAGAAGTGGCCCATGCGTTCCAGGCTGTACATTGGAGCCACGGGGCAGTTTCTGACCCACTCGGCACAAGGAGACAGCGCAAACCATGGGGAAACATCAACATCTTCACAGATCTAACCTCCCTTCTTGCTTTTAAAAAAATGGTTATTTATTACATCTTAGATAAATATATATTTAAGTTAAAGAACAGAATCTACAGACAAACTGTAATTCCTGAAATGCTGTTTGTAGAGGAGAAGGAATTGATTCTTAAATGTAATTAATACCTCATTAAGTTAACGTGATATATCATTGGTTCCTACCACTGCTGCGATCTGAATGAGGGAGAGAGGGAGGTGGTGACTGCAGCCAGCACCAATCTGAGCAGCAGCCAGCAAAGAGCTGCCAGCAGGGTTAAGTATCCTTGTCCTCTCTGGGACAAGCCCTGTAAGAAAAGTGAGGAGTTATGTGCTAATGGCCAAATACAGGGTAAAACAGGCTTGGGTGAAAAGAGAAGGGCAAGGCTAAAAATAGCAATTGTAATCCCACATAGACTTTCTCTACTGCTTAAAGCCGATGGCAGAAATCCCCTGACCGCAGCTGTCAGGTCAGGGCTCCAGCCACTGACAGTCCTACACATTTGTAGCTATTGCTGGGAATATGGATGCATGCTCAAGGAGTAAAAATGTGCTGAGAGACCTGTCCCTCCTGCACAGAGTGCTGTAATTTGGTCACTGCTTGTACCCACGTGCAGGACTGCCCTGCATGTTACAGGCTTGCTCCCCCAGCACAACCATGTGTCTGCTCACCACACCACGGCTCATTTCATTTAAGGGGTTCACATGTTGGAGCAGGTGAACCCAAAGTGTTGGCTTCTTCACTTAAACATCTGTATTTAGGCAAGAAAAATTGAAACTAAACGCACAAATGTCATCCATTCTATCTGTCTGTAAAACACTGTTGATCTCATATGGTTTGTTATTGCTGAGGTAAATGTTCTATTAAATATTATTCAGTGAATATTATATACTTTGAGTTGCAAAATCTGTCATCAGTTTCTCATTGTACACTATAATATTCTGCATTTATAGATGCTGCGTTCTTTCTGAAAGCTTCATGGTTTAAATTTAAAAATTGTATTTAGAAAACCAAAAATATTATCCAGAACAACTTTCATAAAAACAGTACGGTAAAATCTGGAGCTCTCAACTGCCCCTGCAGCATTCTGAGCTTTCAACAAGATAATATACCTGGAAAGGACAGTATTCAAGGACGGGGGGGAAAAAAAAGATTCCTCAGTGTTTTTAAAAGGCTTATTCCTTTAAATGGCGTTGAAAGATTCTGACTGCTTAACCAAGAAGCAGAGGGTCAGTTGGACATCAGGAAGAATTTCTTCAAAGAAAGCGCTGTAAAGCATTGGAATGGGCTGCCCTGGGAGGTGGTGGAGTTGTAGGTGCTGGAGTCACCATTCCTGGAGCTGTTCAAGGAAAGTCGGGATGTGCTGCTTAGTATGGTGATCAAATTGACAAGGTGGTGATCAGTCAAAGGTGAGCAGTAGTCTTTTCCAACCTAGCTGATTTTGTAAGAATGAAAAATGCTTTAGCAATAAGGGTTAAAAACATGGAAAATTATGAATGGATGGCACAGAGAACACATCTCAGACTCAAGCAAGCTGCAAGACCTGTATCAGTTTCTCATTGTACATCATATTAAGTTGAATTTATAGACGTTGTCTCCTTTCTGAAGACTTTAAATTTTAAAATTACATTTAGGAAAAAAGGAAAACAAAGATACTACGAAGAACAACTTTTGTTTAAAAAGTATTGTAAAATCTGGAGCTCTCCACAACCCCTGCAGTATTTACAACTAAGTATTTACAATGCTCTGCAGGCAGCCAGAGAATCAGAGCAGCAAGCACTGTAGTTACTTACTGTAGCAATGTCCCTAAGACTTTTTCAGCATTTTATGGAATTATTACAGGCCCGTAAGAACATGAAAATTACAACAGCAGTTTTTCAGTTAAGAAGAGTGCCCCACATTTATGAGTGGCGATTTTCCCCCCCTTGAGACAGATTATTCTGCATCAAAAGTATGCCTTTTCTTCCAGAAGACACCAGCTTAGGCAACATGCTCCCTTCGAGCAGGGCAAGAGCTTTTATCTTCTAGAAATTTACACAGCGGGATAACAACAGATCCTCTGAACCTGCTTGCTTCAAACCTGATGTTTGGTTCCAGAGCTACATT